TACGCATTGCTTATCTTCATGCGTGTTGTGCAGCAGCCTCTACCCATACAAAGGCGCGCCATTAGCCAGAATATGGGAGATATGGGGAAAAGACTGGAAATAAATTATTTGCATCGATATGTCCTGATGAACAATTTTAAAGAAAACAAAAAAAGTGTTTGCATAAATTGAAGAATTAGTTCCCATGTTGTGATTGAGAGGTTATGTTGGGGAAGGGGGGCGATGACAACTTCCTCATTGGTTCAAGGGGGCGATTCGTTCAAAAAGGTTAAGAACCACTGCTTTAAACTATGGAAAGTATTTCAGGCCCTAGATTTTAATATCCAATATTAAAACTGCTGGGCTTTAATAGCAAATATTAATAATGATAATCAAAAATATTTAGTGTTAATAGCAAATACTAATACAGTTGTTAATACTATAACAATTGAAGTGCAATTCAGAAAATTGTTCTGCTGCAGTGGTCCATGGTTTTGATGCATTATTGTACACAGTTTTCTAAATACATTAAAGGTAGGGCTGTTCAAATATTCCTGCCTGTGACAAAATGTTTCATTTGTGTGTATCTGTGCATGTGCCTCTGTATATGCATACATAAATACTTTCTTCTTGAGATTTCCTACATCAATGTCATTTGTAAAATTAAACTTAATAACCCAGTAACTGAGTTTGCAGGAGTAAACATGAAATGCTTAAGTAATTTTTGGCAGTATATTTTAACTAGTTACTACAGGGGTGTCAAACTCGCAATGTCACATGATGTGTCGCGACGTATCATGACTTTTTTGCCATTGCTGGCAATGGGGTGGGCGCAGTTTTGCTATGATGCATCCGGCCCACGGGCCAGCAGTTTGACACCCCTGCTCTACTATTTTGGATGAAAAATATTAATTCATCTATTTCAAATACTAAATAATAATGTGGATATACCTCCTTAGCACTGTCCCTTTAAAAAGAAATTATTTACAATTTCTAACATACTCAGGCAGCACAGCCAATTATGCAGGTTGTTGTTAACAGATTTGGAGTGCACCCAAGTGGAAAAGTCTATTTTGCAATATCAAGAAATTCGGCTTTTGAAGTGAACATGGAGCCTATAGTACAGATAATCCTCAATTTAAGACCGCAAAATGGGACCGGCATTTCCATTGCTAAGGAAAACAATTGAGTCACACCCAATTTTACAATGGTTGCTAAGCAAATCACTGCAGTTGTTAAATGAATCATGTGATTATTAAGCAAATCCAGCTTCTCCCCATTGACTCTGCTCATCAGAAGCCAGTTGGGAAGATGACGACATGACTCCAGAACGCTGCAAACCACCTTAAGTACATGCCAGTTGCCAAGTGCTCAAATTTTGATCAAATGACCATGGAGATGTTGTGACAATTGTAAGCGCAAGGGCCAGTTGTAAGTCACCTTTTCAGAACTGTTGTAACTTTGAACTGTCGTTTAATGAATGGTTGTAAATCCAGAACTACCTGTACTAATAAATAAGCAGTCAGAAAATCTGTGCCATTTGGAACTTTGACAGTGGTACTCCAATTCTGCTCTCAGAAAATGGTTGAACTGGACTAAATTATGCAAATAACTTTTTATATATTAATAGTAGGCTCATTTTTGAAATGTGGAATCAATTGTAGCTATGTGGTTAATCACCAGCTGGCTGAGTGGAAATCCCAAACTTTTTTAAAAAAAAAGAAAAGGTTTTTTTTTTATAAAGACTGGCAAGAAACCATTTTTCCAGAATTCCTTACATTGACCTTCAATTGATAAATAAAGCACAAAGCAAAAAAACAAAATGACTCATTTCCTTGAACCAGTAAGGAAAATAGCGATGGTTTGAGCTGCAGAGGTGAGGGTTGAATATCTTTTTCCACACATTCTTCCTGGGAAAAACCAACTGGTAATTCATCTAGCCCCAGACGGTTCTACCAAATTTCATTCAAGCTTGTCTGAGTCTCACTTGTAAAAGGGAATAGAATGTTTTATATTTTACTTTGCATCTAGTGGTATATTTCGGTTAGTGGAAGCAATTTTATGGTGACAGAAAAAAGAGGAGCCATTTCTCCTCCCCTTTATATTCTTCCTCTTATATACCTGTAAAGTTTGTTTCAGAAGATATTCCCACCCCAAGAGCAGGGATGTGTGTGGGCAGAGAAATCTGTTGTGCTAATATAAGTCTCTTTGTGAGATATAGCCCAACTTGACCACACCAAAATGTTTCAAGGCATGCCAAAACAAGAGGATTCATTTTATTACTGTTATTTATCTAGAACAAAAATACAATTCACTTTCTCTTCAGGTGAATATGATAGTAAAAGGGTCAGTCCATCCAGCAATTCCTTCCTTTGGACTTTTCTGACTAGAGTAAGATCATTTCAAATACAGAAGATCAGAGAGTATCCCAATTAAATACTATATATATAAAGCTGGATGAAAAATATTACCTAATGAGATCCTATTAAAGAGTCAGACTTGGATTAAGTAAAACAGGGCCTCCCTTGTGGTGGGGCCATCCCAGCGGTAGAGGTTTGCCTAGTACAGTGGTTCTCAACCTTTTTATACGGCGACCCCGGTATTAAGTGGGCGGCGTGCATGCGCGGTGCTGCCCCCTGCGCAGCGCGCATGCACGGCGGCGCCCCCTGCGCAGCGTGCATGCGTGGCACTGCCCTGCGCGGCGCGCATGCGTGACGCCACCCCCACGTGCCGCCCCTGCATGGCGCACATGTGCGGTGCCACCCCATGCGCAGCGCACATGCGCGGTGCTGCCCCATGCGCCACCCTGCGCAGCGTGCATGTGCGGCGGCGGCCCCTGCGCGGCGTGCATGCGCGGCGGCGCCATGTGCCACCCCAGAAAAAAAATGGCGGATCGCGTTGTTTGGCGACCCCCGTGAAATGGTCATTCGACCCCAAATGGGGTCGCGACCCACAGGTTGAGAACCGCTGGCCTAGTACCTTTATTATGCTTAGGAATAGGCCTATTTCCTGCAAGCTTTTAAAAATTGTATGGTCTTAGTGTTTTAAACCCTTGTCTATACACCATAATTTTGATGCCTGATATTCTCTATTTTAGATAGCTAGAATTTTAAATTACACCTTTGATGATATTGCATCATTAATTAATATAATTTATATCATAGTTTACTGCATTTCAGTTTTTTTATGATGGTACACCACCTAGAGTGCTATTATTAAGCACACTTATATATATATAAAATAATAAAGATTGTATTCCCAAAATATTTTTCCCGTTGATATGATAGATTGGCTTTCTTCATGAACTGATCACTGTGAATCATCTTCACACAGTCAAAATGAAATTCTCCCCAGACCAAATTAACAATCTTGATTATCCATCGATCTATCTTTAGACTGTGTGGAATGACAATGGATTTAGCTCTATGATAGATTGCAAGCAAAATTTTATTGATTTATTGATGCATAATTTTAAACAGCTGTAATAAGGTGGCTAGTGAAATGAGAATTCTTGGGATAACTGGATAACCAGGTCTATATTTTCTGTTTGAAAGAACATCAAGCTGCTTTGAATCTGACAGTCAAAATTAATTGCCAGCCTCAAAATTTGTTAATCCTTTCAGTAACAATTTAAAAAATATATGATAGGGAAAATATATAGAAATTGGCTTCCAGAATGCCTTCTAACTTCTTATAAATTGTGCTGAGGGAGCCGGATTAGAAAAGAAGAGTTAGCAAAAGCCAATGCCTAACTGCTCCTCCCTCAGGGACACAATGGGGAAATATGATTATATGGATCAGTTTGCTTCTGAACTCCATTTCTCTTTCTCTCTGTGCCATATCTTGCCCTGCTTTTCCAGAGTTTGTACCCTACTGCTAGTCAGAGGACTATATTTCCTTTCCAATAATCTGTTGGGTTGGAAAGACTATAAAGAAGATCTATTCAGCCCAAAGACTAGCTAATCTAGAATTTACATCTTGAGTGGTTTATACTGAAGTAATCCAAAAAATATTCTTTGGTGAAGCTATCCTGCTGGCTATTGCTCTCTGTTTATGAGCCACTATTCAAGATAGCACAATCATTATGTGAAGGGACCTTATACTGCTTTACTACAACTCCCACCCCTACCCCAGCAATTCTTCCCCTCTCTTAATAATCAATTTAGAATACTGTACACTGTTCTGGTTATTCAATTTTGAGAAAGTATGAAAGGTATCTAGCTTCTCTTCACAGATTCCACCATACTGCATCTTCATGTTCAAGGGCCACCAAAGAGGTCTACTGCTCTAAGCTCTTGCTTGTAGGTCTTCCAGGAGCTATGACTGGCCACCATGCAAAAACTGACACTAAGCTAAATGGCAAAGGGTTTCATCTTCTATTTTGAGGCAGTCTGCTGGAAGGAGTCTTTGCCTAACTCTAACAGACATAAAATGTAAATGGTTCTGCCCTTCACTTGTTTCCGATGGGTTAATGAAAGGGCCAATATAAAGAGCACGCCACCAATCAGGTCTCTATGAAAACTGAGTGGCAGTTTCTGCATGGTATGAAAAGCCGGCAAGCAAAGCAAAAGTCATCTTATTTCTTACTACTGTTTTACTGTGGTGTGAAAGAAACAATCGTGAGCATTCTCAGTCTTAGGTTACAATACAGGTAGTCCTCGTTTAGCAACCGCCTTGCTTAGTGACTGTTTGCCTTTACAAATGAAAAAGTAACTCTGTAACCAGTCCTCACATTTACACTCTTCGCAGATCTGTAAAGCAAAGAAAAGCTGAAGGAAGACTGTAAGCACAATTGCAGTTTCACTTAGCAACCACTTCACTTAATGACCAGGTTGCCAGACCCAACTGTGGTCACTAAATGAGGACTACTTGTTTATATTTCGGCAGCCAGTGAAAAATGTATGTGTAAAATACAGAAGGTTCAGTCCTTTAGAGTAGCAAGCATTGGCAAAGATAAAGAGGTTAGCAGCTACCACTTCTCAGCACAAATACCAAAGCAGACGGAAGGTGAGGCTTCTTACCAGCTCCTTGCGTTTTCACCAGAGATGGAAGAATGGGGGGAGGGAAAGTTAAGAAGAAGGGGGGGACGAGGAAAAGGAAGGGAAGAAAAGACAAAAAAAATATTAGAAGGCTTTCACATGCACTACATACCAAAATTTCAAATATATTCATTAATCAAGGTAATAATTTCTGTTAAGCTTGCCCCTCACCTGATTTATTTCAATTTTCAGCACCTTGGGGGGGAAAGCCCCGTGAAAGGGAAATGTTTTGAAAAGAAGAGGGTGAATTCACCTGTTACTGAGGACAGTGCAGGCTAGGTGGAGACTACGAGAAAGAGGCCTTAAAAATTCATCGGCAACTGGGTTTCTGCCACTGCATCAAATTAAGCTTTGCTAGACTAAGCACCAATGGCTCAAGACTTCTAAAGCACCCTGTGAAAATGTGGACAGCGTAAGTGGGAAGCTTCAAGGGGAAAAGATTATCTCCCCTCTTTTGCTTAGAAAGCCATCATTTATAAACAGATGATAGTTACCATGGTTAAGGCTGAGTTTTATCTATGGCTCTGGAGGTTAAATTAAAAAAAAAAAGCAGAGACTAAAGGTTGTAGGGATATTCCCAGAGTATACATTAATTAACCAAGGTCACTTTTTGTTTGTCCACAAGAAAGAGGCAGATAAGTGCAGGCAACCCCCCCCCCCCCAAAAAAAATCATCCCACTCAACTCTCAGTAAAATGAAGCAGATCTAAAGGCTGCAAGTTCTGTACTCCAAGGTGGCTTAACTAACTCTGTGTCTGGTTTCTACACTGTACCCATCAGGAGGAAACAAGTATCTTTGAAAGCACAATGTGCAGGGATTTTTAAATCCCTCATTGCCCTTGAAGGCTGCTTCGCAAATTGGGAAACAGACTGATAAAATAATGACTCATCAGCACTACATCTCTGGAAAGTTCAAATCCATACAGCCATCGTCAACTTATTTGCAAGGCAAAACAAACAAGCCTCTAGCTGCCTTCAAAACCCCTTCTCAATTTTATTTGATGCTCCCAAAAATTACTATCCGATCATCAAAGGTATCCAGCACGTTTCAATTTTAATTCAAACCTCAAGGAAGAGAACTAAGTTGGCTAACAGGAATAGGCCAAACACTGTGTGGCTTGTCTGCAGCTTAGGGTGCTGAATCAGCTCATCGTTTACAAATACAGTTTTATAACGCTTCCCTCATAGGTAGGAATCTAACTCTATTCCCTTCTCGCCTTGCCATCACATTCCCTTCTTCCCAGTTGTTCCGATATAAGAACATGGATAGGGATATGGCAGTCTGGCTACTGTTTTTGCCCGCTGCCATTGGCAGTTAGAGGGGCCACTACCTGGCAACATGAGAGTACAAAACACCAAGAATGGTCTATTCATGCAACAGTGGGTGTGAACCTGCAGAAATGCATAAGAATGGCAAGATCATTGGCTATGTGGAAATTCTCCTAGAGCAGGGGTAGTAGGCAAGCTTGGCTCTTTTATGACTTGTGGACTTCAATTCCCAGAATTCCTGAGTCAGCATGGCTGACTCAGGAATTCTGGGAGTTGAAGTCCACAAGTCATAAAAGAGCCAAGGTTGCTTACCCCTGCCCTAGAGTAACTGACCTACATAATAAGCCACAGAAGTCAATTTTTGTTTTCCAAAGCCAATATAAGAAAGCCATTTCTCCTTTGGTAATGCTACAGCTACTAAACACCTGACTGTCAAAATAGAAGAAAAATCAGTAGGAGTTATAAAAAGCCAAGTAATAATTTACAGATCTAGAAATCTACCACTGGTTTAACTACAAGACAGCAGATCTCATAATTTCAAGGAACACTAGAGAATCAGTTAGCTAATTAAACATCACCTTAAGATGCAGGCAGAAAAATTCAGAGATGACTATTTTCTGCAATGGGATTTTCTTTTAATGGAAGTGTGTGTGGATGTGCTAGCAAAAGTGGATCAACATTTTGTCTCCTCTTCTAATTGCGGCATTTTGCAGACAGTTCTCTGAGGTCTTACACAGAAGATACTGCCTGCTAGCAAATAGTGGGGGGAAAGTGCTCTTCAGCTAAGAAAGTTATGCTGATACCCTACAAATGCTTTAACTTTAGCCCCAAGACTTCCTGCTGAAAATTCTGGAAGCTGAAAACTATATTCAGTGTATTTAAATGAAGTCAATGCTGTAAAAGGTTGACAGAGTCCAATTTTGGTACTTAGAATTTGTATATTTGCATATATAGTAGTGGCCAAAATTGTGGAAACTTTTGGGAAAAGTGTATTTTTGAGGTTTGATGGCTAATAACACCACTTTTTTTTTGGAGTAGTACCACAAAATTATATATCAATGGAAAGATAATTTAATCAAGACTGTAATGCAATGAAGTTTGTTCAATTATCTGTACTTTATTGTACAGATATGATATGGTTTTAGCCAAATAATCAGAAAAAGGAAGCACAACTTGCTTAGGTTGATATAAGGTAGCTTTCATTCATCTGATTGTAGCCAATGAGCATGAGTGTTTAGAGAGCCAATCAGGTGTCATCTTCTTTTGGCAATAAGCCAATCAGATCACAGTAGGATTCAGTTATTGATGTCATGTATTGAAGCTGAGAGGAAGACATTTGTCAGTGTGTTATATGATCGCTATCAAGTTGTTCGGGTTTTTTGTGTTCTTTCATTTAGTGAGCTTGTAAAACGTAATAAAATTAAAGTAATGGTGCAAAGAGTTGACTGGTTGCCCAGAAAGCGATGTAAAATATATTATTAAGTGAATACAGCTATAATTATAAATAAATTAAAAGAAAAATTGGTGGAAACTTAACCAAAGGTGGCATTTCTACTGTACACTTTTCCCAAAAGGTTTCCACAATTTTGGCCGCTACTGTATGCCTTGAACCATCAACCCTTTTCTAGCTAATAGGAGTTTGTACTTAGATTGGCCAATCCTTAGTATTTTATCAGGGTGGTTAGGTAGATGGGAAATTGATGGTGTCAGCTTTGTTGAGTTGTTTGAACCCTATTACTGAATAACAGTAGTATTAGGTAAGCAAGCCACTCTGATTGGAGCAGCATATAAGTCTAATGAATAAACAGTGAATACATTAAGGCCTCACTGAAATCATCAGAATGCCTATCTAATTTTACTGGGGTTGCATTTTTTTTTTTTTTTAGTTCAGAAAAATGAATCTCCTATTTTAGTTGTCTTCAGGTATTTTTCCTTAGATAATTCCTTTGGCAAGCAAGGCAAATGCAAATTAGATCACTACAGCTACCAAGAGAGCATCTACTACCTTGGCCAAGCATTCAGCACAGCCAAAATCAAAGCCTGAACAAGGTTTTCACTAGATCTAATGAAAGGGAGCTAAGCATGGCGACCAAAAAACATGAAGGGAGCCAGATGCATCAGCAGAACATCATCTGATAATCATAATAGGCATTAAATGTAAGTCCTGTCTCAGTGTGAGCTTTTTAAATATTCATTAAAATGTTCAACTTGGGGCAGATTCCAGCTTGATTTCTTTGAAAAAGCTTTAACAAAAGCAATGACAAGGGTAAATAAGAAATAAGCACAGTCCTCTCTGTGCTTCTGCAAAATGAAACAACTTCCCAAAATTAATAGAAATCAAGTACTTTAGGAGAGGATGAGTTGCATCTCCCATCTTCAATACATCCACTTCACCCAATCACTTATTTCCCACAATTCAATTAGATTTCTAAACAATAGCATTGAATGATTAGATTTTTGTAAATCGGGAGCTTCAATTTTCACAGGAAAGCACATAGAAACTACTTATAGATAAGATGAGAAAAAAACACCAAGGTATAAGCAATTTTCTATATCAGACTTTTGTTCCAGATTCTCAAAGTCAGAGCTGGCTGTTACACTTTCCATAGACTTGGCACCTTGCGCCATCAGTTCTCAGGCTAAGGAACTACCCTTAGGAAAGTGCATACTCTTTTGCCTTCTTAGCTCACTTCAGTTAAATATTATACTAACCATCACTAATAACAAGTGTCCCCCCAAAATTATAATACTTTGCATGGTCCAGAGCTGATTACTGCTATTAAAATGCAGATTTCCGTCAGTGCTCGGTTATCTGATGTCTAATTCAACATATTTATTCTAGAATCTAAAATGTTCCTCCTGCCTTACTTGCACCCGGGGCACTTTTAATGCTGGTTTTCTATAACCTCCAGAAACTGCCACTCTGACTTTCTTTACTATCAGAAGTATAAAAAAAAATAGGGCCTAATAATGCAAATATTTACTGGTCTTCTCACTCTTTCAATTAATTCCTTTGGGTAAGTAAGTTCTCTTGCTCTTTAAAACCTATAATTTAGAATGTGTTGCTCTCCTCTCTTTTATGTAATGACCCAATGAAAAGATAACAGTACCATAAAAGTACAAATAATATAGATTATAAGAGATTTTTAAAACTGATTTAATTTTATCTAATGCAGATTTAGTTCCATGCAAACACAGATTCTAGAAGCATGCAGAAGGAAAAAAAATAGCATTTTTAATGGTCTTACTTGTGCAAACTAGTATCCAGGCAAGGTGGTGTGAAGGGTGATGGGGAAGAGCATTAGGAAAACTCAGATAAGTTTAAGTGTACAACAATTCAATATAAATACAATTAAAACAATGATAAGGCATTTTCTCAACATCTCAATCGATTCCTGGAAGTGGCTGTAAAAGAAAGGGCCTTATAACTAGCAGAGGACGGTAAAAAATATGATTGTTAACAAAGCTGGATCAAATCTGGAGGACTCTTAGCAATAACACTGGCTTAAACATATAGGAGTATTAGCACACATCTTCTTGGTGAATCTTCTCTACAGCAACATCAGGTATGATGACACTAACAAATGTAATGTATTATGGGAAGAGTTTGGTTTGGATGTTCAGAAAATAGAATCCAAATGGGCACTCTCTACTTATCATTTGAAGTGATAACTTTTTTTGGTTACTTCATAATTCCCCTATGTTATCCTTCTGCATCTCTAAACCAGGTTCAATTGTGAGTAGTCCTGCACAACATCACATTTTATTCCATCAAGCATGACTATGGTATGAATGCATCAAAGCATAGAAAGGAAAACTCCTTTTATCCCAGTATTTCTCAAACTTAGCCATTTTAAGATGTATGTACTTCAATTCCCAGAATGCCTCAGCCAGCCCTGCCCACATGTCTTAACGTTGCCAAGTTGGAGAAACACTGTTGTATAAAATAAATTCCACTTTCTGAGAAGGCTCTTTTTCTTCTCCCCAATACCCTTTCTAAGAAGGCAAGTTCTTACTCCTTACCCCTGAAAAGAAAGTCTCGAAATAATTTGGAAAAATGCATACGGATAAGGTATAATTAAGGTGCAGCTTCAGGTTAGCTTGGCATTAAAATGCCATGCCTGTAACAAAAAATCCATTATATTCCCAGTAAGACTGGAAGATTTATATTAGAAAAGAACAGAGCTGGGAGGGACCTTGGAGGTCTTCTAGTCCAGACCCCTGCTCAAGCAGGAGAACCTTATCATTTCAGACAAGTGACAGTCTTCTTAAAAACCTCCAGTGATGGAGCACCCACAATTTCTAATTGTCCTCACTGTTACAAAGCTTCTCCTTAATTCCAGGTTGCTTCTCTCTTTGGTCAGTTTCCAACCATTGTTTCTTGTCCTGCCCTCTGGTGCTTTGGAGAATAGTTTGATGCCCTCTTCTTTGTGGCAGCCCCTCAAATACTGGAATACTACTATCATGTCATCCCTTTCTTCTTTATTGTCCAATTCCCCTCACCCCAGGAATCTACCATAAACTAGAGCACTTACTAATATGTTTTCATGTCATGGCTACTATTAAAAAAAGTTATATTCAAAAGCAGAAATATGCTTCTTCTCATATGGTCATGATTTTCTCCAGAAAAAGGCTCACCTCAGGAAGTGGAACAAATATACTCTATGATGAACATTTTGCCAAATAATCCAACTTTACATTAGGTCCCCTCCAATTTGATGGTATAACTACACAGGCCTTTAAAAATAAATTTAGATTCAATATAGTGCATTGTTGTAGAGCACACTCAAATGGATTCCTTCCTATATAGCAGATAGACACACTTGGGATTGCAGGTAGCACCCAAAAGAAAATCCTAAATTAGACTCCAAAAAACCATATCCCATTACATTCCATGAAAGGATTCTAAGTAACTGTTGGCTGGAGGCCAGAGTGGGTAGTGGCCATTTAAGAGATAATCCAGGAAGTTATCATCTGATCTTTTTAAATCAAGGGTAGGCAACCTTGGCTCTTTTATGATTTGTGGGCTTCAACTCCCAGAATTCCTGAGCCAGCCATGCTGGTTCAGGCGTTCTGGGAGTTGAAGTCCACGAGTCATAAAAGAGCCAAGGTTACTTACCCGAGTCAGACTATATAAAATCTCTGCAATGCTTGATTTGCAATATTATTTTCACACAAGCAAGATATCAGTAATGCAACTAACCAATAGGTACAAAATCATCCTAAAGAAGATGATAAGGAAGTTCAGGGAGTTTTTCTCCACCACAGTCCCTTTTTTACACACCAACATTAATGTTCATGCCCACATGCACTGTTATTTCTATTGCCTTAGCATCTCGCTTGGTAAGCCCAAGGCATGGGTAGCAGAGAAGGATGCAAATTGCTAATCATTAATTCAAGCTGTCGTTCATTTTAGCTAACACAGCACCTTGACCCATACCTGAGCAAATAGAGCTGCTGAGGTTTTTTCCAGTTGTTTAGAAGTAGACATTATGGGCAGAGGGGAGGGAAGGCCTCTTTCTGAAGTTGTAAAATGTGGGCACGTTTTTTTCCCCCCATTTTGTCCATCAAGGGTAGATGCAAACAACATTGAACTACATGAACTATTGCTCTAATTCAACATTAGGTAGCTGGCAGTGGGTATATTTATAAAAGATAATAAGATAATAAGAGATAATAAAAATCAAATATAAAAAGCCCGGTTATTCATCTCAGGAAATCATTCATTAAAATTCCTTTATAATTTTCAAGCCCGTGAAGTTAGGCATTTGAATTAATTTTTTATAATTAGCTTTGGATGGTGGGCTTATTTTTTTTTTTTTACAATATTTGTCACTTTTTACAGTTTTTATTAATTTATTAATTTAGAATATTTGTAATTCTACTCTATAATAAGCTTCTTAGTGGGGCTCACTTTTTCTGTATGGAAGATGAAATATAGAAATGCACTGTCTCTTCCTAGCTCACGGTGTAAAATCTGTAGATCTGATTCTATCTTACAGTAGATCTGATTATAACTAGAATCTAGAAGCTCCTGGAGGATTATAGGCTTAAACCTCACATCTGGGCCAGAAAAGATAACCAGCACCAAAGATTTCAGTGCTCAAATTACTTGAAGCTTTAGAATTCGATCATCACAAAATGCAGCTGAATAGAAGTTGATAACATTCACACTTCTATCAGTTTCTAGAATTCCTACATATATAGGAAGGACATGGAGCCCAATGATCAGAATCCAGTGATAATATAATGAAAATGCTTTAAAAAAACTTTGATGATGTGGATGTAAATTAACCTGAGTTCACAAGTGGAAGTATATTAAAATTCATTTTTTGTTAATCAAAATCATTATTACCTGAGTTTTAATTGTACAGAGAGTACAGAAGCTGAGAACAGAATTACCATCTGCAAACCCATTACACATATTGCTGTTCTCTTCTCAGGTATAACACCTCAAAAGAAATTAAGTAAAAACTATTCAATGGCTATTCATATTCTCCCAGCTATAATCAATACATCAATAAAATGAACAGGATCTATAAATAAAAAGCTTTTAATTGACTTTGGAAAGGACCTTTGCTGTAGAGTATTTATTTGTTATAGGTATTATAGAAAGACTTTGACTATGAATGCAGGACAGCTAAATAAAATAGAATTATATAAAGAATTTGTCGTTTTCTTTTTCCATTTTGTTTCAACTGCTTTTGGAAAAGCAGGGTTTCAGAACTGTCAATGCAAAAACATGATCCTTTACTTTTTATTCACTTCTTACTCCTTAACGAGAAAAATACAGACTTACCAATGAATATTATGAAATTAAAATACATCTAAATTATGACAATGCATATTTATTACACAGTACAGTTGTAACTGTATCGATAAAATTTTCAAAGCTTCTGAGACAATGCAAAATCTATTTATTTTTCATTACGGACCAAGGTGAATCTCAAACTCATTCCCCTTGAAAAAATATGTGATTTGCTTATGATAAACATCTTTCCATCCATATTCCTCCATAGAAAAAAGGCTGTTTGATATATCCAGTAATATGTATAGCAAAAATGCATCAAAGCTGCATTTTACTTAGCATTATTTTCACAAGGTTTCTTCCATTTTGTCACAGCTCAATAAAAAAAAATCACCAACTGATTATATCAGATATAAAACTACAACAGATTTCCTCCAAGATGACATGCTTAAGGATAGGGCGATCTTTTTCTCCTGCCGATGCACAGCTGATTTTGCTGCTAAAGCAGGTTCTTTTGCTCCCTTGATTTGAACGGGAGCAGGAGTGAATTCTTCCAAAATTACAACTCTATTATATTGGTACAAATTTTAAATGGGCTAAAAGAATGTGTGAATATCTCAGCCAATACAGGTATCCTCGCCTTACAACCAATCGCTTAATGAACATTCAAAATTAGGGCAGACCCTCCAAAAGCTACTTATGAACTGATCCCAAAGTTATGGTTGCTGCAGTGCTTCAGGGGCTATTGGAGGCCTTGGGAGGCCTAGAACAGGGCCTTTACTAGACCTCCAAGGGCTTCCCCCGGGGTCCTGAGGCACCCTGTGCTCTACTTAACCCAGACATTCATTTAACAACTGCATGAGAAAGAATAGACATTGGGGGGGTAGACTTAAGTGAGGTGATTGCTTGGGTGCCCCATTCAACAGCCGTCACAACTTCTGATTATACTGGGCAGGCTCTATTATAATTATGAGTCAAGGACTACCGGTATTTAAATAATGCTTTGTAGTTTAAGCTCTGCAAAAGCTGAACAGTGGGAAATGCTTAGCTGTGGAGTGGGTGGTTCATCTGAAAATGGGCTATAAAGCAATCATTCCTTGTACAATTACAACTTTTATATTAGCACATCTGGCTTTCATTACAGCAGAAATGGCTTTGGATCCTTGGTCAGAAGAAAAAGAGGAACAAAATATTCAAAGGTTTGTATGGAAACTGAAAAAAGGTGATCCTCGACTTACAACCATTCATTTAGTGACCATTCAAAGTTACAATGGCATTGAAATATCAAAGTGACTTATGAGTGTCCCTCACACCTATGGTCACTGCAGCATACCCACGATCACATGATCAAAACCTGCATGTATGTACATGGTTGCAGCATCCCAAGGCCATGTGATCATCATTTGCAACCTTCCCAACCACGTCCGACAAGCAAAAACCATAGGGAAAGTTGGAATCAGTTAAGAACCGCATGATTCACTTCATTGCAGTGATTCGCTTAGCAATTGT